GCGTTATCGGGCCCCGTTCGCATCGGCTTCTCATCCACTCCTAGTGCTCTTTCCACCAGTGAGCAGGAAGTGCGGCGGGCATGGCCGAGTCAGTAGCGTGTATGGCTCGCAGACGAAGGGACATTTTTTCTTCATTCTTTCTTTACTTTATAAAGCGAAATCATTTGAGACATGCGGCGACCTTTAATTCGCATTACATGTCGTGTTTTTTAAACACTTTCATTCCACGCGTGACGTCACGTTTCACGTTGAGGATTGTTTGTGATCCCCGCGCGAGGTCATGTGGCTGTGACGTCATGATCCTATCAACCAATCAGGATTTTGCCGTCACGACGCTATCGACGCCGGCTTCTTTTCTGAGACACGAGCTACTTTACGCTACCGCGTTAAAAGAAAAAAAACAAAACAAAACACACACACACACACACAATCTCCTTTGTGACAAGCATGGTGAAACGTCATGCTTGTTACAGCGCACTTTTTTTAGGTTTAAAGTTTTAAACATATTTTTAGCATCGTCATTCGCCGAGCCGTAGATTGTAGCAATTGGTGCTTTCAAGTGCTTCGCGCGAGAGCAGACACTGCAGATTTCTTGTATTCGTGCGTATCCGGTGGAAGTGAAGGTCAGCAACTCGGTGTTTGCCGTATACTTCGCTTTGCGCAGCCAACCATACACCGAATCCCTCCTCGATGATCGTTGCGAGGCAGAACAAACACGCCGTGAAATGTCGGCTGCAGTTTCTGAGTGCTCGCGTGAACGACACCGCCGACGACGAAGTCGTGCAGAGTGAAGGCTGGAACAGAGGTGCGAAAAATAAACCGAAAAATGTACAAAACTCAAAACACGAAAAAAAAAAAAAAAAGAAACTTTCACACCTATCCTTACAGGAAAAAAAAAAAAAAAGAAACATGAACAAGACGACATTAATTCCAACATGGAAATTGCGACTGCGCTTTTAACGAGATCATAGTCGGAGTTTGCGTGCGCAGTAAAGACGCTAATTTCTCGATATTAGCGTGGCACGATTTTCACGTGTTCGTCCGATTTTCGTCCGATTTCCGAATGGTTTTTTCTCACATGTGTTTCGGCCGCTTTTATACATGGTGCGATTCTGTGATTTTCGGTTGCAACGTCGTTCGTGCGGCAAAGACACCCCGTGGACGGCAGCTGATGAGACCGATAACGCATCTTTACTGCACCAAGTCCGTGGTACTTTGTTCACGGGCTCTTTGCCGCAAGAGACTGAAAAGTGAAAGCCGAATCACACCATGTGAAACGGGCTCGAGGTTCACAGAAGCGCTGGAAATTGCGTAGAGGCGATGGTCCTAAGACACTGAATGATATTTGGAGAACGATGTGAGTTGGGTGTTTCTGTCGTCAAAAAGCGGGCATTGTTGGTTTCGTGTATGCTGTGGGCTTTTGACGCGTAAGAAACACTTATTCGCCAGCGATATCATCGAGCCTAGCTCGGTGCAGCTGAGTCAGGTCGGGAATAGCGAGAGTTTTTCTGCAGCGTCCTCCGACACGGCTGTGATGTGACGCCTGGCTTCGGGAGGTCCGAACCGATATAGTGCCGGAACATACAGCTGTATTCGAGTGCTTCCCTATACGTACGTATATGAGGTTGAGCTACGTGAGAAAGTACGTAAACTGGAGACTTGCGCCCCGTGGCTTTTGCGCACAGCTCAGCTCTGCTAATCAGAACTCTACTCTCTTATTTTCGATTGACACGGGAACAAAGTTTATGTATTTGACTAAAACTCCCAAGACTGGGACGAGAAGGGACGGACAAACACAAAGTCCGTCCCAGTCTCGGGGTTTTTAGTCAAATTTTTAACCACCACCAGCTCGTTTGTGCCCTAACCTTTGGTTCACTAAAGTTTATGTTTGGCTTTTGCACCCAAAGGAGAGAAGTGTACCAGATGTGTTGTTGCGAATTAGACCGGCCTATGCAAGTGGCGTAGACGAATGTGGTGGATCCCGGAGTTAGATGAAGAGTTGCCGGAAAGGGGGGGGAGGGGGGAGAAGGAGAGAGGGAGGGGTCAGCTATTGAGAGTCTGTCGCCTACGTAATACCCCTGTCACCGGAACATCTCAAATGACATTTAGCGAGACTGCCATTCATTCTGGGGATGGACGAATCAGTGCGCCATACCAACTCTGCACGTTCCACTTGACATATGCGCGCTGGTTGGACAGTTTTTTAACTGCGTACAGTCTAAATTGCACTGGAGATGCCCGCGTGACGGGTGTTGCCGACGCACATTGGGTGCACGAACGCTCGTGGAGCACCAAGAAAAACTACCAGCGCGATTAAGCTGAGACGGAGTATAATACCGTTTTATTTACCTATTGGCGACGTGCGCGACCCAAAGCGTCGCTGCGATCGGCCATCGACGATTGGCTAAACGCTCCCAATGACGTCCGGAGTGGGATAATTTGCTTTTATTTCCGTCGATGCTCTCATCGACGGAAATAAGAGAAATGCGGTGTAGATTGAGAAGCGCGACTGCTAGGCTTTCACCACGTTTTTTACGCACCATCGAATTTGTCGCTTGCTGCTAAGAATCTCCGTCGCGACATCAGGGATAGAAACCGTAAGACGGTGTTACCGAAACATCTCGTCGCCAATACTCAGTGACAGGTTAAGAATGCAGTGCAAGGTCCACTGTGAGAGTTTTCTATCTTCGACGATACTTGAGCGTATTCTCGAAACCCACAGCACGACAGTCGACAACACACGCGCGTGCCAGAGGTAAAGCTTCTAACTGCACGTTACACCTGTTACCAACTATGGTAGCGTCCGCCAGGCACGAGTCGATTACCGTGGCGCTAATTTGATATCGCCTCCACATTTCGAGCACCGCATTTTAGACTTATGCGGGCAGAGTAAACCCACCAATCATTCGAACTAGAGCTCGGCGTTCCGACGCCCCCGCCCGCATGTCCCTCAGTTTCTCGTCGCAGAGTACCACGGCGGACTTGCCCGAGATGAGGTGAGCCACATCGTCGTTTGAGAGACTCGCTGAACCGCTGAACACATCGGAGTACGCGGAGATTGCTTCTCTTCCCATGAGACATGTCGCGACGCTGTCTCACGGGGAGGAAACAAAAGCTCAACAATAGATGCTCAAACTCTGACCGGTTCTGTTGACATGTTTGCCGCAAAGGCATACCAGCGGGAGCGTGCGCAGCCGTGTAAACTCGCGCAAGGAAATCGCTTTCTGAAGTCACGTGCTCGCTCCCTTGCTTGCCACAACTACAGTGTACTAGAATAAAGGGTAGCGTTGGGACCAGAGCAGCTCGCGTGAGGCGTGTGGTGTAGATAGCGATGGGTGTCGACACCGGCGCACACTCTAAAAAAAGCCGGTGCGTCTACTTTCCCGCACAACACTCGGAGAGCCAATCACCGCAACTTACGGAGGCAGTTCAGCGAATGACGATGTCGAAACATATGTTTAGACCCAAAAACGCAGTCTGAGTTGTGACATTAAGCAATGCAAAACGTCACGCTTGCAATGATGTCACAACTCAGATTGCGTTTTTGGGTCTAAACATAGGTTTCGACATCGTCATTCGCTGAGCTGCCTCCGTGAGTTGTGGTGATTGTCGCTCCGACTGTTGCGCGGGAAACTAAACGCACGGGCCTTTTTCTTTTTTTTTTTTTTGAGTGAATCGGCAGTGAAGATTTTTCGTGTTTTAAAAGTAGCGCAAAATGCGTCGATGCAAGAGGCACATGCAACGTGCAGCCCTTGGGAAGGTCATGGCGGCACAGCGCAGCACTGAGCTAGATTTCAGACGCCATGTTCTTCCTAGAAGTGGTGCGCAGCGCGTGTCTGGAGCATTTCCACAACAATGAATAGCGCCAGTTTTCCCAGGATAGAGGGGCTTTAACCGGCAGTAGAGTAAGTATAAAGGTTATTGTGCGCGTGCACCGCGTTCACGCGCATGTGCGGCGGCACGTGCGGACTGTAGCGACTTTCTGCTGCTCCGTCGACTGCAGCGCCGCAATTGTTGACTACACGCGCAGCCTCACAAGTTCCCATTGTCGAGTCGCGCCGGTCAAAGCACTACCCCGTATTCTAGAACACTGTACAGGGCCGCCCACACTGTCGAGAAAACGCGATCGGCGTGCCACGCGCGTTTTCTCGCTAGTGTGGGTGGCCCTTACCACAACGGTGCACGGAATTCGCGAGAAGCAATATGACTTCATGCACGCAATGAAGTTGCAACATCGCGCGCTGTCACAATCCCAGGCGAATACTTTTAGAAACGGAGCGCCATAGCTCCTATGTTGTGGCTTCGGAAAGAAGAGCCGCATACCTTATTTCCGCCGATCGGGTCAACAAATGGTAGCACTTCACACTCCATGTCGGTCTTTATGTGTGCGTGTTTTGGGCCATGCACTCTGTCTCGCGTGTATCACCGCGAGTGTATCACGAACCCACCATTTGAGCAGGTTCCCCCGCTGTGCCCTAATGGGACGCGGCCCCTAGAACTCCTCGGAGAGTTGACATAAGCTCGCTGCCTACTCTCCTAGATCGGTCCGCGAGATACGCCGATACGGGCGACTGAACAGCGTTGGAGACGCTTTTATCCGCTGCCGGGTAAAAGCGTCGCCAACACCCGCTTTTCCGCTGCTGAGGTTTGCACGGCGTAAAAAAGGTTTACTTTCGCAACATCGAGCCAGACGTCGGAATCTTTATATCCTTTGCTGCAGCTCTCCTCCGTGAACTCTGGGACGCGGAGAAAATAATACAAAACCGCAAAGGAAAACAAGTGGACGAAACGATATCTGACGTTGCCCAGATCCGAGAAGGGTGCATTCGCACCGCAACCCAAAGCGTACATCGGGACAGTTAAGTGAAGTCGCTCTGGAGTTCATTTTGATCTTTCGAAACTTCTCGGTGGCCCAACCCACAAGGGCAGCAAGGGGAAAGGTCAGCGTGCGCGTCGGTAGTCTGGGCCTTAACCGCGTGCCCGACGCTCTTTTCCCGCAGCCGAGAAGGGGGAGGCGTTCTGCCGGACAACGACGCCATGGCGACGTCTTCCAACGCGTCGGTGCCGACCTGGACCTCGGTCCGAGACGACGACCCGGCGGCGGCCAGCCAGAGTGCGGCCGTCCGGCTCACGCTGCTTTCGTGCGTGTCGGCCGGGGGCTCCCTGGGCGGCGTGTTCGTCATCAGCGCCGTCATCGTGATGGAGCCTCTGTGCACGCGGAGCAACGCGTTCCTCGTGTCCTCGGCGCTGGCGCACCTGCTGGTGTCGGCGCTGCTGCTGCCGTCCACGTGCGTGGCCATCCTGGCCGGGGTGACGCGGGACCCGGGCCTGTGCCACTTCCAGTGGGCGCTGGTCGTGGTTTGCTTGCTCACCACGCTCCTGTCGTACGCCTTCCTGGCCGCCCACCACTGCCTGGCGACGCCCCGCTGCTCGCGCTGGGGCGTCCTGGCCGCGGCGCTCTTCAGCTGGGCGGCCGCCGTGACTGTGGCCCTCGGGCAACGCACCCTAGGCCTAGGGCCCAACTTCTGCTGCGCGTCTCCCGGGGGCGAGACGCGGCTCCCGCTTCAGCTGTCCGTGTCCGTGGCCTTCGTCCTGGTGCCAGTGCTGGTGACGCTCGTGTGTTTCGCGGTGGCCGTGGTCAGGACTCGACGCCACGACCCGGACGGCGGGACGATGGTCATGCTCAAGAGCCACGTGATCGTGTATGTGCTGACGCTCGTGATGTGGGCGCCAGGGGTCGCTCTGGCTGCCGTGTCCGTCAGCCGGCCCGTGCCGTCGCATCTGGTGGACGTGGCCTGGTGGCTGGCGCTGTCGCACTCCTGCCTCTACAGCTACGTCTACGCGGCAACGCACCGGACGTTTCGGGTGGCCTTCAACAAGCTCTTCTTCTACTGCTGCTGCAAGAGTCACGTGACCTTTTCGCGGCCCTCTCGCGAGCAGCGGATCGGTGCGCAGGGCACTGGTGTCGGACTCAGGGTGCACATAATTCCGGCCATGAACATTTACTCGGCGAAAAAGGACTCGAGCCAGTCGGCTGTCAAGCACAGCGTCCACGGAAAGGGGCTGCACTCCAGCTACGACCTCTAGCCGCTCCTGCTAGGGGGCTCCCGGGGATCCCGCCTGGTGGTCCCCTCCTAGAGTGCGTCCCAAGAGTCTCCTCCGGTCGAGGGTGAACATACTTCGGAGATGGCGGTGTGCGTGCCAATGTTTCCTGGTGCTACGCATCCTTCGAAGGGTGATGAGGGCGCAGCTCGAACCTGCTCTTCGGCTGCCAGAGAGAGAAAAAAATAGACGGAAGCGTCTGGGCACGTTTCAGCATTCGACAGTGAGCACCAAAGAAAGGCGTTGTCATTGAGGGTACCATGCCCGTCAAAAAAAAACAACAACACTGTCGCTTGGTCTTTAGCCAGGACTGTTGACATCACCAGGTTCTCTGAGCCATCGGCCGTTGTGCCGGTGCCAGAAGAGCGTGAGGACCTTTGTAGCTTTCCTGTCCGATTTTGTTGCCCCCGTGTCGGCCGACACTTTATGTGTAATTGTAAACTCGCCGTGTGAGCCTCCAAGGAGACACGTAGAAACCGCTCGTGTTTCTAAAAGCGCTAACGAAACCACGATACGATATGTCACGTTTGCATTCCGAGAGCTGACGACATTGTGGAAGCGAGAGACAAAAATGGGCCCATTAAGTCCATCACTAATAGAAAGTGCTGCCATTGCTACCTGAATTTGGCACGAAAACCTCAATCCAACTCCCGAGACGGACCTTTAGGTACCGACGGGTTACCAACGATGAGGCGTCTCTTTTGACAACTTCGATCCAGCGGTAGGTCGCTACCTTCGTAGGTACTTCATTTGCGCAAGCGCAGTCACGTCGCGCGACGCTAAGAAAGCTTCAAACTCGGAACGAAGCGAGAGAACACAAGACGCCTGTCGTTCGAAAGCTGGAAGTGTCTATGGGCGCATAGGCAGCACCGCATCAAAACCGCCAATGCACGCCTTCACATGTCTGATTGGTATACACGTCCAGTTACCGGAAGTGATACTTGATCGAACGCCTGCTCGTGAAGCTCTCACAGCAGTGCCTCACAAGTAATAGCGAGAGTGGTACACCGTCCGCTTTTTTAATGAGTTTCGCCAGTATAATAGAGAAACCACGCTGCAAACTCCCAGGAACGAGAAACTCCCAATTCCTACATTACATATCACTTTTCAAGCGTTACCGCTTAAACGACCTGTTAACGGGTATGCCAATCAGATCATTTTTAATTGTCATGGTATGGAGCCCAAATCTTCTGGGCAACCCGGTAGTCCCGGTTTCATTTTTTTTTTTTTTCATTTTGTTTACTGCTTATTATGCTACTTGTCCTGGAAGTCACTTTGTTTTGGTGTAGCGTGGGAGCGAATGCTTTGTTTCTCTTCGATAACGTGCAACGGCCTGAACATGGCAATGTGTAATGGACGACGACGGGATGCAAAAGGACGAAGTGAAGGTTGGCTATGGCAGCGGGCGTGCGAGGCTGTCTAGAACCGTCCGGTGGCGAAAGAAGTGGTCGCTGACCATCACAAATTGAACCAAATAAAAACACGTAAAGAAAGGGGAGGGCGTTCCGAAATGTTCGACAATCGCGAATCCGAAACGAGGTGACGTCATTGTACGTCATACCGACTTGACGCACAGTGGCGCCGGTATTGCCCCTGGTTGTCGCAGGACGCGGCACGCGTCCGCCTACTACGCTACTACATTCCTAAGCGAGCCTATTAATTCACCCGCCTGTCTCGTCCAGTGTCGACAGTCTCGACTTCAAGAAAAGTGCTGAGTCGTTGTGAAGTCTTCTGAACGTGGTTGTAGCATTAATCTCGGTGTGCGATACTTGCTTACGCCGCATCCTATCACGTGATCGTCAGACCGTCTCTAGCCCACAAGTGTACGCTGACTCGGCCCCTTTCCTCCGGCGGATAACTGCTAAGACGTTACGACGCACGCCGCGTTGATGTTGTCCTAATCGGTTTCGCAGTGCCAAATGCAAAACAATTAATTGTATACTGCTGCATATATGTATATCGACATATATAAATATATATATAGTACATATATATTCAAGGAGCATCCCCGAGCATTATTCCATCGTAAAATGTATCGCATACATCTGCAGATCGTCGGCGTGGAAGGGTGGCTTGCCACAGTGGTGTCTGCACACCGTGCATTTATCGCTCTAAACTTGCGTGAATTATTTTACCCTCTTTAAAGGCCGACGTGCAAACTCTGTATTCTGCAAGGCCGAGGATCCTCGTAGTATCCGGGTGGTGAATGTAAGAGAGAGAGAGAGAGAACTACGAGAGGAGGGACGAGGCTCACCCTGCTCTCTCAGAGATTGGCACTCCCCTGAGAGGGAAGGGGGACCATCAAAACAGTATTCGCTCAATCCCTAGGGGTGAAAGTCCAAAGTGCAAAGCGAATACGTCGGCCTTTAAAAAGGTCGAGACTAAAGATTCGTTTTCGCCAACGGGCCGGCGCAGAAGCGCAATCGCATACCCTGATTCCCGGCAACGCCTAAAGGCGACACCATTAGAGGTTGTCCTTCCTTTTGTTCGCAAAACTCGAACCCATCTGCTGTGTGCTTCTTCGGCTCTCTTCTGTTCGTCTCAAATCTAACGCTATCGGCATTTTGTCCTGCTCCTTTTCTTTTTGCAAGGCTTATTCAGTCTGGACTCCGGCCTGGGCGGCTCGTTACTGTACTCCACGTTGGGCGCCAAAAAGATGTAGTGTCCCGAGGGGGTGGTCCCCTCCGCGGGATGGGAACCGCGGTGAAGCTGGGAAGGCCGAAGTTCAGAACGGATCTATTTTATGGTTGCAAAGGGGGAAGGAACAAAACGTGAGATTTATAGCGATATAGTTGAGATGAGACACGTAGAAGACGAGGACCTGAAGAAACACACAGCACAACACTGTCGAAAGGAGATCTACAAAAAAATACAATGACTCGCCTTGTGTTTACTGCGGAACCACGCTCGTTTTACACGTTCCTGCGCCCGTAGGGTACATAGGTTAAAAACGGTTGTGCATTTCAAACATTTTATTCCGGAAATACGAAGATGAACACTTTGCTCCGTTGGATTGCTGGCATATGCGATGTATGCTACACGTGGATAACGCTCGGGGAGGTTCCGTATGAAGTTCCAAAGAGGCTGTATTTTTTCTGGGGAAGAATATATGTATACATGTATAAACGACAAAGTATTTGATTGCCCAGACAGTATTTTCTTTCTCTTGCTACACACACACAAAAAAAAGGTTATTCTGTCTTAGCAGTGCCCTTAAACTAAACTCGAATTAAAAAGGCACGCCCAGGCAGTATTTACTTTCTCTCACCAGACAAAGATAACGAGTGAGTCTATACCACCTTACCAGTTCCCCAAATTAAACGTAACTCGAATTACAAAGACGCGTTCGTGTTTTCTGAAATTTAATGTAAAATTTCGTGGTACTTATTCAAAGCGCTTTATCGGGATTTGCACTTCTCACGTTAACAGCTGGATTAGCAAGCGCCAATATCTGCTATGAACGCCGCCAAAATTTTGCAAATGCTCAGAATTCGTACGAAGGAGTGCCGTTTTGATTGCTAACCTACCGTTAGATAGTTAGCAGTGAGCTGCCATCAGACATCGAAAATACAACTATTTTATAGATGCATTGATGCGAACATAACCGCAGTGCCAAACGACATAAAATGGACATCTAGCGAGGCATACACTGACCTCGTTCAGCACCAACAACGTCTATAGCTTGTTTTAGACAAAAGGAGAAAATAAAAGCCCGAAATCTCAAAGTGAACGCTAAGAAAACTAATAACAAGAACGCCCAGAAGTCTCAAAGTGCCTGTCATAGATAAACTTAGCTCGACAAATTGTCCCCCCCCCCCCCCCCCCCCCCCCCCCCCCCTGAATCCCTTTCTAGGCAGAGGACCACCATTTTTCCCACTGCTGCGTTTGCGTCGCTGACAAACCAATCGTTCCGCCGACTCATTTTCCAGGGCCTTGATTGGTCAATCCCAAGCTTGACGTCACTACTGCAGAGACAAGCTGCCGTAGACTCTAGAGCTCGCGATAACTTGTCCCGCCTCTTCTTCCACATTCCCGCCCCCACCTTATTTTGTTTTGCGTTCACATATACTCGTGTCCCAAAAGCAAGGCTCTCCCGGTATACAGCCTTCGCTTATCCGCCATGTCGACGTGGTACGGCGTGTAGTATTTAGGAACTACGGTTGTGATGGAGGCGATGTCGAGACAAAACCATGCGAGAGACCCCTAGAAACAAATTGAGCCGATACGTTAGGGAAACCGGTACTGCGTCTCGTAGGCAGCTAAGTGTGCTTTCGAGCGTGTCCACGCGTATAGTCGCCGATTCCAAGGCCATTTTAGTCGAACGGCTGCTCGCTTTCATCTTTTGAGTAGCGTCCAACCTCGAAAAGTGCGCCCGCCCGTCGTAAACGCATTTCAGTCGAGGATTACTCGTTCGTCAAATGAACGACCGAAGCGCATCGTTTCCGCGGACAAAGCACAGTGAATTTGTGGCGTTACCTATAGAAGGCATATCAAGTTTGTATTCGTACGTCGGCCGACTGGACTTGTCGGTCACTCATCACTAGGCATTTCGTCGGGATTGCGCGTTCCAAACGTTCATGGCCTGCCGGCCACCGGTGATTCTCACCGGATCGCGCTTTGGGAGGAGTCACCCGCTGCCCCACTCAGGGAACCAATTCGAGACGACGAGATTCGGTAGCGATTTTCTTTCTTACGACTCGATTCATCCATCGTGTGTGTAGGGACAACTGACAGAGATAGCCGTGCAACGAAGCGGTTCACTCTAGGTATAGCGTTGCTGCGGAGCATTTTGTTAGTGAACTAATGGCATCAATGTCGTGCATGCACGACATGCACGGAAGCAGACTCGACGCACTTACTTGTGGCGTGGTCAGAGATACAGTAACACACGGGCGCTGAACGAGAGAAGTAGTCGCGCGTCGTTAAACGTAAGACGCCAGAACACATTAACACACGCTACTGCACGCGATTAGCACCGCGCGTACACACCCGCAGTGACGCGTGGTTGAGGCAGAATGGCGGAGCGGTGGCCGCATTCGGGATCAATACGATCCAGAAACTTGCCACATAGACGAGGGCAGCCTCGCGGCACATTAAAATGGGGCAGTTTGGACTCTTCCGACGTGGAGGCTACAGAATATAAGACATGTCCAGTTCAATTGTGGTATTACACTCTACGAGCTGTAGCGACTGTATACCATACCGTCCGCTGTAGTCGCACTACCAATAGAGGAAAAAAAAAAAAAAAAGGTTGTGGTATTTTACAACGGGGGCATTCTAACTAAAGTAACAAATGTGCGCGTTTATCTTCCTTCGTTTATTTTTTTTTTTCTCGTGCTTTATATTTTTAGGTGTCCCTACGAAGTGTACACACCCCGCGTCGAGTACTGTCCGTGTGTGTCGTACGAAATTGCCCGCTTAACCTCGCCACGAATATTCGCCTCAGAGACGCTCGGTCAGATGTTGTGGCAAATTGCCGTACGAAGTCAATGAAGCATCTTCGTGTGCAGGACCAACCGGTTCCCGGAAGCCCTGGGCGAACCCGCATACATACACATGTTGTCTGACCAAAAGGCGTTGTCGACACAAAGATCGAAGGGCAGAAACGAGACACCACACGAACGCAACAGCAAAATGGAAAAGCGCGGCTTAATGAGCAACTAAAGCCTGCTCTAGAAAAAGCAAGCTCGAAGACAGAGAACACTAAGAGGACCGCTTATGATCATTAAGCGAGAACTGGATAATCCAGTCAAAATCCGTTTTGCCGGTTGCCAGGGGGCCTAACTGTTGACTTCGTACAGCAGGCAGACCTCGTACTTGGGTTCATTTTCTTTTATATACCAATTAACCGACTTGTTCTCTTTCATTCTGACGTGGCGTAATTTCCAACCGACTTTCGGCGCGTTCGCCCCGCGACTTGAGAAGCTCTAACAAGCTTTGGGAGCCTTAAACAAAAACGCCCGACAACAAGGAAACAAGCATCGGAGGGTGCGCTTTCGCGGACCGACGGTCCGTCTTCTCTCTGGGTTCTGGGTGTGTTCTTTAGAGATGTACCGTTTTACAAGGCCTTTTACGAAGTGAAGCACTGCTGCGTGTGTCCATTTCAATAAAATGTTACTGGTACCTTTGTAAAGAGTGCGTGCTTTCTTTCTGTCTATTGTTTTTTTTTCTTTTTTGGGCCCGAAAGTTAAGCAAGCCAGCATACAACGCTGCCGCTGGTTTGCAAAGAGTATATTTGACACAACCGTCGTTTACCAATGGAGTAGGGAACCAAATGATGGTGCGGGAGTAATGGGCGATCTCATTGAAGTTCCGCCTATAGAGCGCGTGCGCGTCGGCGACTGAGCACGTAGTCGCCGAAATTGCGGCGGGGAATTCAGTCTCATCATTCATAAACCAAGATTCGCATAAAAAAAGAGAGGATCGTTTCGATATTGGTTTCGTTGTATGTACGGGCTCCTGTCCGAGGAGAACAGGGCGCGATATTTGCGGGGAGGTCGACAGATTAATGGCCTCTTCAGTATAATAGCACCGAACCTCATATATTGGCCATCCGACGAGCGCTCGTGAACGGATTCACCGCAGCTTGTTAAATTAAAAAAGCGCAAAAGATAATAAAAAGCCGCAAAGTGCGCTTTTCAAACTTCTATCGATTTTCTTCCGAAAGAGTTATTGGAAGCGCTCTTGTTTTCTTCGGCTCGCGTGGACACGAACACAAAAGACGGTGCCGCCAGAATTCACGAGCCTGGTTTGCGTGTCCCGAAAAATTCATGACGTACTTTGCGAGAGGGCTTCTTCGTTGCTTATTTCTTCTTCTTTTCCAGACGACGCTGTGTTTGGAGCGAGAGGGAAAAGAAAGTGTGTGCGTGTGTGTGTGTGTGGGGGGGGGGGGGGGGGGGGGGGAGGAGGAGGACTTGAGCCTCTCGGCCTTCTTGGAGGAGTCGAGGCACGTACTGGGGTCAACATCCATGGCCGCCATAGCGCGAGAACTAAACACCGCCGGCGTGCAAAACTCTGTCGTTGGGAGGAACAACAAGTCGTTCGAGACTGGGAGGGTTTCCCAACGTTATCGAGCCTGCGTAGATGAGCTATGATGGAAACGCCAAAATTCCCCGCAGCAAAAGTACCCATTTCCTCTACCGCCCTTGGGAACGCCGAAAGTATAAAAACGTGAACAGTCGCCCGACAACTCGTTCCACGTGCTGAGGCGCTTCCTCTGGGCATTGACAAGCAAAAACTAAACGTGTTTTCGGCAATCTACACGCACGTGTAAACTACCCCGACTTGCGCAAATCCCGAGGGTAGAAAAAGTCGTTCAAACTGGTTTTGAACGACATTTCTATCCTCTTGGCCGGGCGCGAAAATTATGGTTACGCCAGAAACCACGAGATTCTTGCCGTTGTCTCAGTTTGAATATAGAGTGCCTGCCGTATTTACAGCTTTGCGCGCTGGGAGCCTTTCACGATACTTTGTAACATACACCCTTCTCTTCGCATTCCCCAGACAAACAAGACAACAAAACGTTGTAAGTAGCGAATAAAAAGGCAGAGCCAAACGACTACCATCATTGCGAAAACCCGAGACCAACGAAACCCAGAAGAGAGACAAAGCACGCCAAAGTATCTCGATTTCACGTTTTCGCAACGTTTGAAGTTCACCGGCTCGCCTTCCAGACATCAGCGAGCGGCACAACCCAAACCCAACAAGCACCGACCAAGCGTCCGATTTGCAACGCGTGTATACAACTTTTGTAAACCCGATTCAATTTAGTGCCGCGGCACTAAAAAAAGCCCGTGCGTCAACTTTCCCGCACAACGCTCGGAGAGCCAATCACCTAAACTTACGTTGGCAGCTCAGCGAATGACGATGCCGAAACACAAGTTTAGTCCAAAAAACGCAGTCTAAGTCGTGACATTAAGCAATGCAAGCGTGACGTTTTGATTGCTTAATGTCAAAACTCAAAGTGCGTTTTTTTTTTTTTTTTTTTTTTTTGTCTAAACAAATGTTTTGGTATCGTCATCCGCTGAGCTGCCTCCGTAAGTTCCGGTGATTGGCTGCTCGAGTGTTGTGCGGGAAAGTAGACGCACGGGCTTTGTTTAAAGTGCGGGAGTCATGTTATTGCAGCGAATCACAATACACTTCGCCTCTCAGCTGCCCAGAGTCCCAAAACAATACCCGCGAATAAAGACAGTGCGCGGGTACACGCGGGCGTCGCTTCTTTGCGCAGCAAGTGGCCCAACCGGACCGTGGCTAGCTGCTGGCATCGCTCCACGAAGGCCCGAGCATTAAGGGACCGCGGCGGTGGCTGTGTTAATTGCCGCAACCCATTTTACGGCTCTGCCCAGTGTTGCAGCTTCGGAGGTAGCACACAGGCAGGCGCAGGCTAAACCAGGATTGCAGTATCAACACGTGCGACTCGACACAGGGATGAAAGAGGCGTCTATTTTGGAAGGGCTCCTGTCTCAAACTTAGCACCGCCAGAGTTACCCGAACAAAACACAATGCAAAGCGACCACAAGGCTATTCTGGGCGGGCCACGCGCTCGCTCCCTCGCTCGTCTGGGCCACTCTTGACGCTTGTGAGGTTTTGGGACGCCGGGCTCACGTCACGAGAGCTGCGCGCACGATCCGCCAGGTTCGAGTTCGGTTCGACTACTCGGCCACCGGTAGTCCAGCGGGGCGACGTAGACAGCCTATCGCGAGGCGAAGGAGCACCCAGTCACGTGATGAAAGCCGCTAGACTGGCTGGTGGACTCGCGTTGCTACAACTGTGCTGCTGCGGCGTGACGCTGGGATTTGTCGAGTACGGCAACGGGGTGAGTGAATCCCGCGCGATTGCCTTCGAAACTTGCGACCTTGTTTCGGGACTCTTTTCTTTGATATCAATCTCTCTCTATATAGACGAACTTAATCTTTACGTAACAATACGCAAGAAAAAAAAAATAAAAAAAAAAAACTGAAAGAGGATTAAGGATACAGAGTTGGGCTGTGCTCTGTGGCGCACACTAACAAGTTGTTATGCACCCCTTTTGGGTGTTAAAGGTGCGTGCTGAAGACTTGTAGTCGTCGCTGCACACTTTCAGCATCCCATTTCGCGCTGCACCATTTATGAGTTATAACCCTTAATTTATTGAAAGGGCTTAAAGAAACAGGGAATGAGTATTTATCGAAAAGAAACAGCGATGTCACCATCGCTTTGTGCCGGCTTGCTATCTGTGGGCGTAAAAAGGATGCGATAAGGGTGCAGTGTGGGGAAGCGACAACATACCAGCCTGGAATATCGCTTTAACAGAGGTAGTCTTAGCAACTGCGTTTAATGATTGTCGACTTTAATACTACAGTCCGTGAACCGCGAGGCGATCAATTATGTTTAAAGTTAAATACTGGCAAAAAAAACAACAACAACAACAACAACAACGCAACAGGTTTATCACAACTGATGATGTGGTCTACGGCGAAATGATAGAATCTCAAGGCAGTTGCGCTGGCTGGGAAAATGCACAATTGCCTCGCACTTATATAAAAAAAAAAAGGGTTTTGCGTATTCACAGCGCCCACAATTCCTGTGGGAAAAGGCTCGTTCAAAAACAATAAGTCAGCATACCAAATTCTCTCGCACGAGTTTGTCGCTGTCAGTACAGCTGGAGAGGCCAGCAGCAGATAACGCCGGCGATTTAAGAGTCACACGGAAGTTCTAAACATGGCACCAAGGCTTTTTCACACAGAGACGAGAACCAGCCTCCAAATTTACGGGAAATTTGCCGGACGGAACTCTGTTCCGAGCCCTGCTTTGCCCTCAAGGAAATCTGGCGGAAGGTGGATATGGAACGCTACTTGACAGATGTCTATAGGTGGACAGTGCAGCGACTCCAAAATACGATCGTCGTTATCGGCGGAATCCCAGCTGACAGTCTGCGTTTCTGCCCTGTAGTTCTACGAGCTGGTAACCCAAAAGAGGTCATGCCTCCGTTGCCTGCTGTACTGTAATAAACAGTTCAATAGTAACTGTCTTGCAGACAGGCCTTCCATTCAATGCAAGCATTCCTGTGCCTGGTAGCCTAGATTATCCTTATAGCACGACTCATCTCGTGCCCTCGAATTTCTGTTGGAAATTAACTCCTTGTCAGGGCGTAAAAGGTGTACCAACCCGTTCCCACTTGAACCTCCCCGCTGTGCCCATCCCGTTCCAGCCCGACTCAAAACAGACTTTCATTTCGCCCTTTATCATTCCAACCGTCGCCAAAAACAATGTTTCCCCTTCGACCATTGTCCTCTTGCCCATTAACGTACATATAATCCCGAAAAGACCAGCGTGTGCATTTTTCGTTTTAAATGCACGCCGAAAACAAAATAATCCTTACTTAACGACGGACACCTTCGTCCACAATTTTGCTTTGGCGAGGGTACTAAGTAGCTTCCGACGGGCTTGATACTGAGAAAGGGGTGAATGCACGGAATCTTGAAAAAATAAAGTCGCAATCGCAGCGCTGCCTTCCATGTCACGTTCATCGAAAACAAAACAAAACAACAACAACGCTTTGAAGGTATTTTTGATTAGGAAATGCTCCATGAAAAGTTGGAATGTGAAATACTTTTCAGTCCAAATGAGAAGGGTGTGATAAGATCGGGTTTAATCGGGACGGGATTATATAAAAGGGGCCTTCCGGGTATTTAGACAATGGGGAAAATCAACTGCAACGTGAGCGGTTAAGGGGAATGGCGTTGTTCCGGGCTGTACTCCCTTAAACACGGTGTCGGGTTGCGACCCACGCAGGCCACCTGGGAGCGTGAGTTGCCGGCCTGCGCTTCTGCCCGTTCAGTATGCAGTCTGGTCCACAGACGCTACTGGCTCAGCCCCCTGGAAATAAGATTGTGCCGTTGCCCGCACAAGGAGCCCTGTCCAGAAGGATTTGAGACGGCTCCTTCGGCCTGGGCGGTCAACATCACCTCTAGGACACAACTCAAGGTGTGTGAAAATGTTTAACCCTTATCCTGCTGGCTCTCTTACAGCCTCGTTCACACGACGATTCCGGTAATGGCAAGCGCTCCGAGCGTTGTTAACCCAGGCGCATGGCTGCGATAAACATCGTCGGCATGAAAAGGAGCGAGAACCCGAGACCGCTTGTCCTGGCCGCGAGTTGGAGCAGTTAGCCTTATTTATCTTCTGTTACAGCTAGGGCGCTGAAAGAAAAGCAATTGGTCACATTTTACTGCAATATAAACACGAATAATTAACTCTAAAAGATGTTCCTAAAAGTTAGGAAATGCTTCATGGTCTCTTTCGGGTTTTAAACAAAACACGAGCACAGCCAGAAGATCGAACGACTGTTTAGTAGACGTCTTCCAACAATCCCAAGAGGCCGGAGCATCTGCACATATGCTCGCCCTTACTTCCGCAGCATCTACCACGTAACACTGAAAGAGAGAGAGAGAGAGAGAGGTGGGAGTTACACTTCTGCGTATCCTGTCGCCTCCAAGATTGCCTCCGTCATCTGCTTCAGCCGGTTCTATAAATGCTGCTCCCGGCATTCCTTTCGGCGCCGCGGAAGACGCTGTACACTTTGCAAGGGGTCTATTGAGACATCTCTCATCAATTAAGGTATTCCGTTTCCCCAGACCGTAGTTCTGGTGAAGAAATAGAAGGAAGTTGTCTGCATGGCACGCATAACAAGAACAAAAAAAGTCCGACACTCCATACTTTCCACTCTAGCAATATGTGCGTCATTTTACCGGCAACGTTCAGGTAGGAACACAATAACAGTAAATCCACCTGATCTCACAATAGCGGTCCCGAGAAAAAAAAAAAAAAACCGCCATCATCCAATGTGGGGCGGTAAAAAGGCTAATACTCGAGGAAGAGCATTAGTCGATCTGACCGACAAGTACAGTCTTATGGTTCTCAATGACAGAAGCCCCACGTATTTCAAAGGGGTGACGATGAGTAGCCCACTAGACATTTCACTGGCATCTGCCGATCTGGCCATTAAGATATCATGGTTTGCCGACATCGAAACCCAAGGAAGTGATCACGTCCCCACCTACATCACAATAAACAAATTTTTCTGCGCAAAACTGGGTACAAGTTTATCCTACACTAACTGGGAAAAATTCCAAGAAAAACTAGAAACAACGTGTCATGAGATCGCTACTACTGAAGACCTCGCACACGTCATTGCGTCCGCAAAATCATAAGCTACAAAGTCGTACAAAATGGCGAATTCGCAGGCTGCTGTTGATAGCGAATATAAACGGCTTCGCGCTATTCGCCGTCGTGCAGAACGTAGAGCCCGAAAAACAGGCAATTCTGAAGACTTGAGAGCATCACGGCAAGCGCAAAAGCACGTTCAACGGAATTTACACAAGCTCTAAAAGAAACGATGGAGAAATAAGAGCGCAAGCCTAGATCCCAGAAAGCCTCTTCACACGCATTTGGCCAATGATGAAAAGCCTTCGTAATAAACCGCAGCAATTGCATCCCTTCCGATCCATTGCCTTGAGTCGAAAACTCTCAGAAACCGCCGTGACAGATGACTATTGTGCAAAAATCACCTGTTACTCGTCAAGCTCTAGATCCAATATCAGCATCACAGATCAAATAACACATGCTTGTAGGCTAATTAATATCCCCTTTACACTAAAAGAGTTAGAGATCGCGCTTGCATCATGCAACACTAAGTCATCTCCAGAGCCAGACGGAGTTGCTTATTGTGACTTAACTCATCTTGGTGAAAGAGCACGATGTCTTTTACTGGACTTTCATAACACACCATGGGAATCTGGCACTATACCAAATGAATGGAAGGTAGCTCGTGTCCTGCCTATTCTCAAGCCTGGAAAGTCACCTCTTGATATTAATTCCTATCGACCAATCGCACTATCAAGCTGCATTGGTAAGATAATGGAAAAAATGGTGCTTACGCGGATCGCATGGGATCTTGAGAACAGGGGCCTATATCCACCCCAAATGTCTGGATTCCGCCGCGGAAAAAGCAGCATGGACAATGTACTAACTTTGGTTTCTAGTATCGAAGAGATGAAAATGCAGAAAAAGAAAACAACCGCTCTTTTTATTGAAATCAAAGTGGCATTTGATACAGTGGAACACAATGCGATACTTCTTGACATGAAAAACATGGGCTTTAAAGGACCTGTAGTCACGTGGACATCAAACTACTTTAAGGGAAGAAAAATTTACATTTCAAAACAAGACGGTGACACTGGACACCATGAAGTAAAATGAGGGGTGCCCCAAGGGGGTGTTCTTAGTCCAATTCTTTTTAATATATCGCTCATTGGTCTTCTCAAACTTCTTCCAGACACAGCACACATATTTTTATATGCCGATGACATTTGACTTTGGGTATCTCGCAAGTCCATGTACATAAATCGGACACGACTACAGAAAGCGATTAACATTGTCATAAAATACCTCAAGTCTCGTGGGCTACATATATCTCCCATAAAGTCAGCCGCTGTTGCTTTTACAAAAAAGGATACCAGCAGATATCCCATATATGTAGAAGGAACACCGATACCCTATGTTCTGAATACACCTTTTTAGGAGTAACTGTTGACAGATTTTTCACTTGGAGCCCTCATATTAAACGACTCAAAAATAAATTAAGCTCTTTCACCCAAATAATCCGAATGATAAGCGGAACAATGTGGGGTTGTACCGTCTCAGCAACGATGACCCTCTATAACTCTCTTTTCGTAGGACTCTTACGATACACCTTACCAGTTATGAACGGAGCCTCAAAGACAGTTATGAAAGATCTTGAATGTGCCCAGGCACAAGCACTGCGCTCTTGTTTGGGCCTGCCCAAATGCACATCGAAGAACGGCACACTCGCTGAGGCTAGGGCACTTCCGCTTTCAGCTTTAAGAATTCAAGAAACAATCAGAACTCACCTTCGACAAGTCACTCGCAATACAAATCACCCCCTTAAGGACACTGTTGAATCTAAACCTTCCTCTAGCTTCTCCAAAATCATTACTCTCCTGAAAGACTATCTCCCCAGCTTATTTGAGGCTGCACAGAATCCGGCACTTCCGCCTTGGATGTATCCCCCTTTAGAAATTATAGCGAACATTCCAGGTATAGGAAAGAAAGCAGAGACATCAATCGCCGCGATTACACAAATAGTTCTAGGATATATATATATCGAGCCTATTCACTATCTGTGCATGTTTATACGGACGGGTCTACCACTCTAACCTCCTCATCTATCGGTATATATATTCCATCAACCAAAACAACTATTAAAGCAAAACTAAGTCATATGACGTCCTCGACTGCTGCGGAGCTCGCGGCGATCAGAATAGCCATGCAGCATATTATTCTCCAAAATCCACACCAATGGGGGATAGTCGTCGACTCTTCTAGTTCTTTCTTCCCTCCGTAAAAAAAGTCCAAATATACAACTTATTCACGCAATCCTGGAGATACACCAAAATGGTTTGGTTAAGGGGCACAATATAGTTCTCCAGTGGGTGCCAGGACATTGTGGGATTACTGGAAATATTTGTGCAGACAACGCAGCCAAGAAGCTCACAAAGAAGCTGCTACTGTCCTCATTCCATTTTCAAGAACTGATTCCAATACCGTCACTCGAACAATCGGCAGTGAAATAACAACGTCGTTATGGAGAGACCCACATTATTACTACAAGTACCTAAAACAGACTGACCCCAGATTAGAATTTTGCATGCCACGAGGCCTCTCAAGAGCCAACACTTGATCGACTACGTCTCAACGTCGCATATACGAAGAAATACCTACATTTTATTGGCAAGGAAGAATCACCAATGTGCTCTTCATGTTCTTCACCCGAAGACAGTGACCATCTATTGTGTATGTAAGAAATACGATTCTGAAAAAAAGACGTTAAAAATACAGCTAGGAGTAGGACCAAATGAAAAACTTGAACTGCACCACCTTCTTGGGCCGTGGTCAACGTCTGGAGACGCATATAAGGCCACGAAAGCACTAATTCATTTTCTCTCTCATACTCTATCATTTAATACGTATTATTTCACATAATTTTTTTAAACTTTTTTTTTCTGTTTTTTTTTCCTTTTTTTGTCCCCAACCCTATACTCTATAACTCTCTCTACTCACTATTTAATACGTATTATTTCATATAATTTTTTTAAACTTTTTTTTCCTCTTTTTCTTTCCTTTTTTGTCCCCAACCCTATACCCTATAACTCTCTCTCTACTCACTATTTTTTTTTTTTTTTCAATCAGTCGCTACTGACCGGTGACAGGTCAAGAACGAAGTGGAAGCTCCGCCCACCTCTTTCCACTTTAGTAGAGCGGACGCTGGACAGGACGCGACCTCCTCTCCACCGTTCGCTCCGCTGAAGTGGAAAGGGGTGGGAGGAGATTCCACTTCGTTCCTGACCTACCTAGCTGTATTTGGAGATTTGTGTTTGTCCTTTGTCCCCCTTCTCCAGGGACTATTATCGTCATTCTTGTCCAGCTCGCTTGCACTTTTGCATTAATTGCATCATCGTCAATAAGAGCTCGGCGTTCTGGCATCATCGCAACCCCTGTGCTAGAAGCAGACAAAGTTGCGCTCCGCACTGCTTCCAGATGTGCTCGGCCTGGCAACCAACCAACTGCACCTCCGACCAGACGTCCCTAATTATGAGGACCAGCAGGACGTTCCCATCTCCAGAGAGGCAGGGCACCAAGGAGATCCACGCAGACGTGCTCTGTCAGTGCGCTCAAGATCGGGACGTCTACTACAGGCGCACCCATGGCAACAACACGGCCGACCTCACCTACTACGAGCAACGGCAATACTTCAGATGTGCACCGGTCAGTAGCACACAAAACAGAACGAACATGGAACTGGCAAAATATCAACGGTACTTTTTTTTTTTTTTTTTTTGAGATGGTGGCGCAAACTTGTGCGTATCAAGCATGGGCGAACGTACAGCCACAGTACGTCTTTTTTTTTTTTTTTTGCGAAATCATCAAATAGCATTCGGGCCAATGTGGCCTTTTTTACGACAGAAAAACAGTAAAAAGGAAAGGAAATGAAATTTTAATTTTGACAAACATAAACGCTACAGTGGCCCACCATTCCATCTGTTGGTTTCACGCGGGCCATGCTTTTGCCATAGAAAAAGAAAAAAAAAGAACACGTTCTTTCTTTATTTTCACTCGAGTAAAATCGTCAATATAAAAAAAGCAAAAAAACACACAATAAATTGCACTTTTGTGCCAAATTAAATCGCGATCTGTTAGAAAACCGATTTACGAGGATCATTCAAAGGGCCATCGCGCAATCAGAATCACCCAGCAGCTGTGCAAGTGTTTTGCCATGTCCACACAACACCACACGCTAGTGCTCTGGAAGGGAATGTAGCCTTGTATGTAGTTGGTGCAGAAAAAGGGGGGGGGGGGGGGGGGGTATAAATCACTGAAAAGGGGGACAAAGGGCAACCACAAATTTCCAAACACAGCTATAAAAAATAGGTGTCTGGTGTGCGTTTGAAAAAATGCGCCTGGTCGGCCGCGGAGCTCTATGGCGGTTACTGAAAAAGGGCAAAAAATGGGCCTCATTTTTTCACTCAAAATTTTAGAAAATCACTTATAACGTGTGAATAAGATAACAGTTAGTGTTGAAACTTTGGCATCTGGTTCTGACCTCTAGCGCTACTTTTGGGCGGACAATAAGCGTTTGGCGATGTAGAGCTTTGCGGTAAAGAAAAAAATTTTTTTTTCAAAACTTTTCTTTTTTTTTTTTAAGGTACCGTATTTTTCGGGCTCTAGTCCGCACCTGGTGTATCATCCGCAGAGGCCAATTTACGCCGAAAAAGGATAAGTTTTTGCCTAGATAGTCAGCACGCCGTGCATAGTCCGTACCTGGTGCTTAGTCGACACGAAAATCTCCTCATACACGGCACACCTTGACAAATGTCTGCTTTCTTAGCTCACAAAGAAGCTTGTATCATACATAAATCATCATTAACATACTCTTTCATTCACAAAATCCGACAAGTCATCGTCATAATGAACGATCTTGAAAAACAAAATTCCTGTATAGTCCGCACGCGTCGATAGTCGGCACAGCCACAGCCTAAAATTTCAACTCTTAAGGCACGACCACATTGGCGTCGCGGAGGCCTGCGGCGCGGCGATCGGCGCTGCCGTTTGCCGACCCAAACCAGTTTTCGGCTTCAACGGCGCGACGTACGGCGCCGCAGAGTCAACCGCTCCGTGCGCGGTTCAAAGCCGGGCGCCGCACGCCGCAGAAGAGAGGAGCCAATGGGAAGTGGCGTAGATAGTGACGTCGCGATGCCATGGCAACGCTCAAGCCGGTCCTCGGCTCGTCTTTCACGTTCCGAAGGACGTGTTTCGCGTCGTCTGCTCTTCCTATTTTCCCCCGATGCCTTCCCCAACGGAGCGGTTCCTTGAAACTGTGCGACTGTTTCCCTTTTTATATGACAAGACGCAGCCAGACTACCTTGATAAGGACGCTAAGAACAACCGCTGGGAAATTATAGGAGAGGAATTCGGAATTACAAGTGAGTTTCTCCGTGGCACTTGTTGCATGTCGTCTGTGTTGTGACGGATGTCGTGTTGATTTGGTGACACTTTCGAAAGTAGCCTTCATCTCTGGCGCGCCGCCGGGGCAGCAAAGCCCCGGCGGCGCGCCAGACCTGTCCTGTCCCGCGGTGTTTCGGTAGAACCAACTCGGCCGGACCCAAAACCTGCGCCTCCTTCCCTTCAGAGCGCGGCGACGTCGCAAGATCAACGAACAGGCTAGGATAATCACATTCACGCTGATCACCAGGTCATTATGGATTCCTACCACGTGTGGCAGCGAGTGCGGAACGGAAGAATGTAACGAAGAGCAGACGACGAAAGAGCGGGACATCCGACGGGAGGCGCGATCGCGAGAACCAGTGCTGTCACGTGACGCCTGCAAAACGGAGGCAAATGTGGACTCCTCCCGTTGGGACGCCGGACGGCGGTGCCGCCCGGCGGCGCCGCCCGGTGGCGCCGTTCACGCTAGTGTGGTCGGGCCTTTAAACGTGTATAAGTCCGCGGACTGTAGCCCGGAGAATACGGTAAATGTGCCTTAGACGATCCATATCTTGCAGCGTATTTCGTGCTTTTGCCAGAAATGTGTACATGGTGCGGCAATCTGGGCCGGCTCAGCTACTTCCTTACGGAGAAAACCACGGAAATCCATCGGCAGCCGCGCCCATCGTGTCGCCTTGTAATGTGCCGCGCAGACTGACGCCGCGATGCGGCGCTGCACCTCCGAAAAGGGCGACCCCGCCGCCGTCCTCGGTGAGAACAGGCTTCTTATCTCAAACAGCAAAAGACCGGGACGTTCAAATAGACCAATCGAGGCCCTAGATTTCCTTTATGGTTTTACTCCGCAAGTTGCAATAGACTGTCCTCTGCTGGTAGCTGTGGAATCCCTGTACAATGGCGGCGAACTAAAACCGCAACTTCACGGCACACTTGGTGCGTTTGGTTGATCAAAATACATATTTATTCCGGTGGAAATCCCAGTGACGTCGGAGCAGGGCGGGCGGGGGGGGGGGGGGGGGGGGAGGAGGTGGAGGAGGAGGAGGAGGGTTTCGTTGGATGAGAAGGCAAAAACACCCACAGAAAAATGTGGCGGGTGCAGTGACGTTGCACTTTCGGCGGTGGTTGATTGTCTCGTCGGCTCCTAGTGTTGGCCGAGCTCCCTACGTTCGCTATCTTATGGAATGACCTGCACGTTACACAATGACTGTTGTTCCACCTTAGTGCAGTGGTTCCGCCCTTGTAATAATCGGCACGTGACTTTCGATAAGCGGTTTTTACGCGGCCGGCATGGCACAAAAGACACGCAGAGAGCTCCGGATACGTTAAGCTGTTAAATAAGAGGTTGGAATGGATTGCCACATTTTCTGTTGTCCCAATGTGGACCCCCCTACCCCCGGGCCTGGGGGGAGGAGCCCTAGCTCTGGGGCTCCTCTCAAGGAAGGGGGGAAAATCCGAGGGGTGTGGTGCCCCCCAGCCTTTCCCGTAGAGAGAGGGTGGAGGGGGGCTTCTATGAGGGAGGGGCTGACATATAAGAGCGGTGACCCCACGAACCTACCCAAGGTGGAGGGGCCCTCGCTCCCCGCTTGCTAGGTGGAGGAGCCCTAGGAAACATCACTGCGGCGGGGCTGCTTGGCGCAGTTGTCTTGCGGTTTCGTCAAGCCGACTCTGGTGCACGCTCGTAGGCCCTCCGCGGGGTTGGATGGGGGTCGGGCACTGATGGGCCCTCCCCCGCTGGTCTTTCCCAGGCTGCCCCTTTTGGCCAGCCCCGGTTTTCTTTAATTCCCTACCCAAGCATCAAGGAGAATGCAGGGATTGGTGTTCCACGCGCCACACGCGCACACCTTCCCAGTATAAAAGGTTCGAAGTAAATAACCAGAATACAGCGTTGACGAAAGTGCCTGCGAGGTGCAATTTGTTTTAGGCATTTGCTTCAGAAAAGTTACTACTGCTGAGGCCAGCGCGTGTGGCGCGTGGGACACCAATCTCTGCATTCTCCTTGACGTTTGGGTAATTTAGCAATATGTCTATTGGCTTGTATTAAGGAATTCCCACTTGATTCAATTTATTTATATCGAACTGGCTTTAATATCAGTTGTGCCTCCGCAGGCGGTTTCACCCTACATCATGTCCCAATGTGGAAGTCGGTTTCACAGCTTAGCTTGCCACGCATTTTATCCCATTTGGCCAGTGTTGCCAGATGGCCCCACCAAACGACTGGAAGGTATAGCCCAAATATAGCCAAAACGGCAAAAACAATATAGCCCAAAATAGCCAAGACTAAAAATAACGATTTTTAAGCCTTATATTGACAATTTCTCACAATCATACAGTACACGTAATAATCTCTGTTTCAACCCTCTGATACACCAGATTTTGTGTACATTATGTTATTTTATGAAAAACGAAAGAAAAAAAAAAAGCTTCGGAAGGATGAAAATTTGTATAACACTGACCCTTCCATCGTAAGTTTTGAGAAGTACAAAACACACAAAGAGAGCTTTATTGTGAAGCCTGGGAGGTGCGATCATACAATAAAATAACAAAAAAACACTGAAGCAGAAGTCAGAACACTGGGACTTTCAAACCAGAACCCCAATATATCGCAGGTCCTTACCAATATCCCACCTGTTTCTTTTTCTTTGTGTCACCCACTCCGGTTCACGCTATTTCTGATTTGTTGTCCTTTCTTGGGGTGGGCAACGACTGGAAGGTAGTCAATTGTGGAGCTGTGAAACTAAGGACTTCTCATTTTTACAAACTTGGGTGCCTCAGGATTCTCACAATGACCACCAAAGCAGCATTTGGAGAGTTCAGTGTACGTTCGGGCGGAGCCATATGCGTCCGAATTCTGCTCCACTGCGCTGTAGGGAGACCGCTTGAACTCTGCAAGCATTGCTTCACTGCGCATTGTGAAGACCCTGAAGTTTTTAGAAGTTTGAAGCCTTTCTCCTTCCTCTCTCTCCTCTCAAATAGCCAAAAGATAAACAATTTTTCTTTTTCGAAACATTAAAAGTTCGAAAATTAACTAGCCGAACCTTAAAGATAGGCGTCGAACCTGAGGTTCGACAAAAGTTCGCCGCATTCTTAGAAATAGCCCAAAATAGCCTTATAGCCAACCACGAAATTTTGACGCCATCTAGAAAAAAATGTAGCCCAATTTGGCTATATATAGCCCAATCTCGCAACACTGCATTTGGCTAGCACTAAACAGTGTACAGCAAAAGGGGAAACTCCTCCCACCTCTTTCCCCTCTAGCAAAGCAAACGCAGGAGAGGAGGTAGTTTCCTCTCCAGCGTTCGTTCAGCTAGAGTGGAAAGAGGTGGGAGGAGCCAGAACACTATACAGTTCCTAGAAGCAGAGCAACGCAATCCTTTGATCTGCATGTTTTACCGACATGTCAGATAGAGCAGCTAGGGGACGGCGCGAGTCACGTGGTACTCAAGGTTTCAGGAGGCGCCCACCCTACGCTCTAAAAAAAAAAAAAAAAAAGCCCGTGCGTTTGCTTTCCCGCACAACACTCGGAGAGCCAATCATCACAACTTACGAAGGCAGCTCAGCGAATGACAATGCCGAAACATATGTTTAGACCAAAAACCGCAGTCTGAGTTGTGACATTAAGCAATGCAAGCGTGACGTTTTGCATTGCCTAATGTCAACTCAGACTGCGTTTTTTGGTGTAAACATATGTTTCGACATCGTCATTCGCTGAGCTGCCTCCGTAAGTTGCGGTGATTGGCTCTCCGAGGGTTGTGCGTGAAAGTAGACGCAGACTTTTTTTAGAGTGTATGGGAGAACACATGGGAGATCGACGCAAACCGGCTGATTAAAAAATTAACGCCGAGTTCCCACTTTCGTGAAGTTGGTAAAGCATTGAACACTTTATGAAAGTTCTCAAAATATTGGATGCGTGCGCAAATTTAGAGAAGGCAATTTCCAAAACAATGGCGTTTGAAGCAGACTATATATATATATATATATTTTTTTTTTTACACAGCAGAGATGGACTCTAGGTTGGCCGGAGCGGGTCACGTGAACGGTGACGTTTTTTTCGCGCGTTTTCCGAACAGCGTGAGACCGTCGCTGCACGTAACGTAGCTTCTAGCAGCTTCCGAGCGATCGGCCTCCACTGCGCCGCGTCGTATGCCGCTCAGACAATTTTTTTTTTTAATTACGCTCCTACGTGGCGCGCAACCTAGAGCAAATTATTGAAAAAGGTTCCTTTATTATATCAAAAACTATTGTCGTTCAATACATCCCCCCCCCCCCCCCCCAAAAAAAAAAAAAAAAAAAAATTAAGGGGTGACAAAACGAGAATGTACTCTACTGGGAAGGCCACGGCAAAAGAATGGTTTCGCCCATACTGGAAGTGACAATTTTTCAAGATGGCGACGCCCTTGCGAAATTGCACTAACGTCACATCGCATACTGTTGGCCATAAATGAAAGAGAGAGAGAAGGAAGCTGCTTTTGCAGGAATTTTGAGTGACGGCCGGGTCAATCTTCTATAATCTGGGGGAAGAATAGCGACGTTTCGGCAAATCTGGGAGACAAAAAGGGTTCTGGAGAGAGGGGAGCCCTTCTTCCCCTCTTCTCTGGTGGCCATAGGAGAGCTCTTTTTTCTTCACTTGTCAGATTCGTTTTTTTTTTTTTTTTTTTTGGGGGGGGGGGGGGGATATTTACGATATCCTACAGGTTCGGTGTTTTTCAGTGTCAAATTTGGCACAAAAAAAAAAAAAAAATCGGTATTTAGAGGATTTATGTGGAAGCAAACGCGACATGGAGTTGGGCTTCTCTAAGCTCTGGGGGACCATGTGCGTGGCCCAAATACTTACCGGTACCGGCAAAAAATAAAATGTAGATAGTACATCCATAGTAACCCCGAGACGTAGGATCAATAAAAAAAACAAAAAAAAAAAAACGGGACAGAACAACACTGCTCCTACGTCTCAGGTTTACTATGGATGTCATTCACCAGTTTGACTGCGTTTTTTACCTTTCTTCATCTCTCTTTTTGTGATTGGGGGGGGGGGGGGGGGGGGGTTTCCTAGATTTTGATAAAATGGGGCACCAGGGGTTGATTTTTGTGGTTTATCGGTATTTACCAAAAATACGGAGCCCTAGTTATTAGTAAAGTCCAGAATTGTTGCAGGAAGTCGTTTCTTGTAACCACATTGTGCAGCTCTCCGAATGCAAGGCCGGGGCATCGTGTGGCCACATCACGCGGGACTTCTATGCCACCTACAAGACGTGTCACTGTCCCGCCAACCACCTTTGCACCGTGCCCCAAGGAAGGAACCGAAAAGTGGAGAACGTTCGGGAGGCAATGTACGAAGGTGCCGCTTACCAAGCCCTCTGCTTACCGAGGTGACAAGCCATTTTGTGAACCTGAAGTATGTTTATTTGATCTTGGCATCACCTTCCAGAACATGTGTTAAAAAAAAAAAGCCTCGAGCATCACAGTTAGAGTTCTCAGCATTTATTTTTGCTCGTCTCTTGCTGAGGAGACTTGCACCAATCTATATTTAATAAACCAACTCCTGTCGGCGGTTTTCAATACGAGCTTCGAATGGGAGCATGTGTGGCAAGTTGGCATTGATTTTCATTTCGAAGAACATGTTTAACAATCTAGCTGTTTTGGCATCTTTGTTCACCCCTCATCTTGTTGTGGCACTGCTGAGCCGCGATTTAGGTGACCCTATGAAACGGGCACGGGAAGCTATGTGGTCTGTGTGGGAAACGAGCAGCGATAGCAGAAGGCAGTGGGGGAGGACCTCCTTTCGGAGCTTCTCAGTGTTTCTGCTATGTGGCGTTGATTTCGCAGGAGTCGTGACTAAGAACGTGGTAGAAACTCCGCCTCCAACAAACACTCACTCGTTGCCTTATTAATGAATACTACAGCTCTTAGGTTCAAAATTTGTAGCGCCGGGAACAATGATCCATTAATACAGCCAATTAACACAAAAAAAAAAGTAAGCAGCAAGAAAAGCACAGGTATGACAGAGCTAGAGCTAAACATCAGTATACATTTGTAGAAAACACTCTTCTAGGCCCCACAATAACAGTGAAAAATATAAGGGCATAGGCATTTTCACAACATAATCTACAAAACAAAAAAGAGAACATTTATCAAAGATGATGAGAAAGTTCACATGCAAATGATGCGTAGTCCTTTATTGTCACAAATGCCACTTTGCAGAGAATTCCCATCCTATAATATTTTGTAAAGAGGGAAAATTTAAACAGAACCATTCCGTTCTGTGCGCCAAGGTGCAACACAGGGGCGGGTAGCGGCAATCATATTTAGTTTGTCCGAGTTAAAATGGTTGCTTGGTAAATTAAACAAGATTTTCAAAATTTCAGCCCAGGGATCCAACGCCGAACTTCCAAGGGCTGAAGGCCAGCACTCGCTTAGAGTTCAGACACATAGTCAGTATGATGGTACCTGTTGTAAATAAAACGTGAGCTTTTTCTTTGAACTCTTTCACTTAAGTTAATATTAGACACTGTGAAGGCCGCCCCATACTCTGTCGGCATATTCGAGAAGTGACCTGACAAAAGTTTTGTAAGCTGCCAATTTAATGATGCATAGCTTTTTGTTAAGTACCAAAGTTTGTTTAATGGGATAGGTATAACACGATAGATCTAGGAATTTCATTGTGGATTGCAATAATGACTCGTGAGTATTTGCAAGGTAACCTGTGAAAGTAAGCAACCATACACTGTAGTTGAAAAAGTTGTTGCTTTCCACATTATGTGCCTATAAACAGACTTATTGTTGTTTAAATACGAGGGGGGACCCAAAAGAAACCGAACTAAATTTTTTTGCACTTATTTATTCCCATTTTAAGTACAAACGTTCAATCTCCTTCGAAGTACTGTCCACTTGCGCCTAATACACTTGTCTAATCTTTTAATCTATGTGTCGAAACATTGTTTAAGTTCATCTTTTGTGATGCTTGACAGCGCCTCCGTCGTTTTTTTCTTTTTCACCTCAGCAACGTCAGCAAAACGCTTTCCTTTCATCTCTCTTTTCATTCTAGGAAACAAATAAAAGTCGCACGGGGCAAGGTCGGGTGAGTATGGGGGGTGAGGAACAAGGGTCATACCATTTTTGGTCAAGAATTGTCGTACAGACAAGGCAGTGTGAGCCGGGGCATTGTCATGATGGAAAAACCAGTCACCCGACTTCCACAAATCGGGCCGCTTCCGCCGCACACTGTTGCGCGATCTTTTCAAAACCTCCAAGTTGAAAGCCTGGTTAACTGTCTGACCCTGCGGAACAAACTCTGAATGGACGACTCCTTTCACATCGAAAAAACTAATCAGCATTGTTTTGATGTTTGATTTCACCTGACGAGCTTTCTTGGGGCGAGGCGAACCTGAAGTCTTCCACTGGCTTGATTGTTGCTTTGATTCAGAATCGTAACCAGAGCCCCAAGTTTCGTCACCTGTAATAACTTTTGAAAAAAGTTTGGGTCACTTCGGGACTCTTCTTTCAAAGCACAGCATGCTTCCACGCGACCTTGCTTTTGTTCAGCAGTCAGCAGTCGTGGCACGAATTTGGCAGCCACCCTTTTCATTCCCAAATCTTCTGTCAAAATTCGCTGCAATGAACTCCAACTCACTCCCGACAGCTCCACAATTTCGTCAATGGTCCGTCGTCGATCTTCGTTGATGATTGCACAAATTTTTTCAACGTTTTCATGTGCTCGTGCCGTGGAAGGACGACCGGAACGAGGTTTGTCATCAATTGACATGTCGCCATTCTTGAAACGGGAAAACCACTCAAACACTTGAGTTTTCCCCATGGAATCGTCCTTGTACGTCGTTTTTAACAGTTCAATAGTTTCTGTTCCACTTTTTCCGAGCAAAAAACAGAATTTAACCGCCGCACGCTGTTCACAGAAATCAGATATTGCAAAAACGACGCCCACACGAAACACTTGTCACTATAAACCCAGCCGCAACTAGTCCTAACCTTCTTCGAGGACGGAATTAGGCCTAATGACTCAGCAATGTTCGCTCTATCAACTCCTGGCGGCAAAACGCGGTACTGCAAAAGCTCTGCTTAAAAAAGAATTAGTTCGGTTTCTTTTGGGTCCCCCCTCGTACATTTGCCACTCAGCAATTTTATTTAGGCTGGCATGAAGATTTTCTTGGTCTGAGAATGATCTTGTTTTGGTGTACATAATATCAACCACACAAAGACGTAACAAAACAGGAATGTTGCGAGCCAGATTATTCATTAAAATAGAAAACAGTAGGGGACACCCCTGAGAACTCCTGAAGGGTTTGGCTGCACATCTGCTGAAGTATCAAGTGAAGAAAGCTCGCGCTTGAGGTAAAGCGTTCAATGCATTCTCACCCTGTCATTGACTATAGCTATAGTAAAGGGGTGCAATGAGGTAAAGACAGGTTAAAACCAGGGCTGGGCAATGGATCGATTAATCCTCCAATTAATCAACTGATGCTTTAACTACAATAAATTTTCTAACCGGTTCAATTCAAACAAACAAAAAGAAAGTAAACATTTAACTTTTCCTTTTCTTTCTGATAGTGCCATTTTTCAAAACACGAACACCAGCCTATTCGTCTGTGGGAAGCACTCAGACAGAAAAAAACATTAATCCTATGAAAAACCGGGGCTGGGACGAAAGAAAACTACCAGACTATACTCAAGTCCTGGATTTCACCGAAGTCAAGTGATTTTGGTTAGGGATTTTAGGTACTTAAAGTCACCGTGTTTGTTCCAGCAAAGTTGTTGTCCCTCCCAAAGCCGACAGTTACAACAATGGGACAGTCGCGCGTCGCGTCCTTCAGTGAAAGCCTGGGCGGCTACAAGACTAGTGAACAAACATTCACGAGGCCAATTCTGGACATTCCACAGATTAGTCTCCCTCAAAATAGCAAGAGACTACTCCCCATGTGCCACCAGGCCCAAGCTACCCAAGCAAGTGAGCAGGCCCGATGAAGAAAAAGAGCAGCACGCAGTTATTTGTGCCGCACGGCACCGCAATACGCGTGGACAACCGAATGCCAGCCCTACCTTTGAAGAATATCACAGGTACCTTTAAACGACTGCAGAACCCACGATAGCTAGAAAAGCACGCAGCGACGGTGGGAAGTGAATCTGAGGGGATCAGATGCATAAAGTAAGCTTTCTTTTATTTTCGTTACTTAGGAATTCAGGGAAAGCAATCAGTCAGATGTCCTTCATTCTTTTAGCAGTATCCTCATGTGCAATCGGTTGGGCTACGGATACATGATCAGCACTAGATTTAAAAATTGACAGGTGCCTTCTTGAGCAAAACGAAGAGGCACGCCATACCTTGCGCTAATTTTACTTGCTTCAGTATTCCGCACTGCACAGATGTGGATAAGCACATCTGTATGAATGGCAAATTTTAGGGGCTAGGTTTGCAACCTAAAGTAAGTGCAGAAGTTTTTCAGTCCTCTTCACTTCAATGCCATGCGAGTGTCTGTTGTTAGCGAAGGAGCTCGTTCCTGCAGGAAAATATTAACAAACTGCTTCGCCTCTGCAGCTAGAGTAATAACTTCCAAGTTGATTGCAAACTGATAATGAACATTGCACTGTTTATTGCGTAATAAAACAAATCAGCAATGGCAAGAAGTACAGCTCAGCCCTTTTTGCAATATTATGCCTGAAATTCAACCAAAACAATTAACCAATTAAAAGGTAAATAATTGTATTAAAAATTTTAATCAATGCCCCAGCTCTAGTTGGAACACACGTTTCACCTAAAACAAGTTCACATATATGGTCCTCATAAAGAAAATTAACAATTGTGAAAGCTCTCTTTGTGACCTTGAGATCTGCGAGAGAACAGCTATCTTCATAACAGTCTCTATTAAGGGCAGTCCCAAACACATTTGACAAGATCAGACAATAGGCCTAGCATTTGCTCCAGTCAAGTTGACTGGGATTGTTCATGCAATAAAAAGGCACTACCGTAATATCCCGAGGCATCGCCCACACCCCTGCCGCCTGAAATCCATAAAATCAATGGGGTGGGCCATGTCTCAATAAATGAACACACACAAAAAAAAAAAAACGCCAATTTTTTTTTTTTATGTGTAGCGCGGCTGCACAAGAAATACATTGAACACAAAACCCGAATTAGTTCCATTGTTTTATGCAAAAAATGCTCATGAAATAATGTTTTACTATCGCAAAGTCCGCTGCTTGCATTCACGCGATGAACACCGCCGATCGGCATACAGCGCGAACGTTTGTTCTGTGAAAGCACGTTTCTTACATTGCTATGTTCTTTTCGTTAATAATAATAAAAAAGACAAGAAAATAGAAAAACCAATTAGGTGCTACGAGCAAGGCAGCGGACGTAAGAAGCAACGAAGAGCGATGCTGGAGAAGCAGGAAAGCCCGCGATCGCATTGGCAAATACTTTGGCGTCGGGTCAAGTCGGGTGCCCTCTCAATTGCAAGAACCAGGCTCTTGCACAACTTCCTTGCTTGGTACGTACATGCGTGCTATCAATAAGGGTTAAGGCGGCATTGCTGCGTGATGTGGACGGCACCACAAACACGGAGCTTGAAATGGGATGCTCTACAAACGTCCATGTGCGGTGTTCCAGCAAATCTTCATTGAGGCAAAAGTCTTATATGCCTCATCGTTCAGTTGACCTTCAAAGTCCTTGAGCGAAAACATGTTGATGACACGAAAAGTATGAAAACACGTCGGCGACAAGAAAGGTATGAAAATACGCCGGCGACACAAACCCATGGTTCACCACTGGACCACGAGATGGCGTTACTTGTGCCAGAACTGGCAGAGGCGCGCGCACGGCGCAAAACCCAGCATGAGAGAAGGACACTCTCGCTCAGGCAGCGGTAAAGAGCGGGAGTGCGACATGCCGCGAGATTAAAGGCCGACGTACAGAATCGTCTTCCGATGGACAGAAAACCGTTTCCCAGTTTCCTCCTCCCCCCGCACTCTTCTGTCCTCCTCTCCTCACAGGAGTGGGGCTGAGTTACTCCCCGCAGAAAGGAGGAGCGTCTCCCTCTTTCTCCAATGGAAAGGAGGAATTTAGACAGAGTACCCTTTCTGCTTGTTGGTCGGCCTTTAACGGCGCCAAAAGTGCGTCGTCCTTCAAGTCGTCTTAGGGATAACATAAGAAACCCTGTCAATTTTGAACCCGTTGACTGTCTTAAACATTGCACTACCTTACCAACCGCGGTCGCGACGTTTCGGGTGAAGGAGAGGGTTTGCAGTGACCTTACTTATACTCCGTTTCACTAAAACCATGCAGTACAGCTAAAGCTACAGGGAAGAAAGCTTATGCCAACCTGTTCAAGAGGAGGGAAAGGAGGAACATGAGAGGAGCGCTGGGATTCCCCCTTTCCTCCTTTCCCTCCTCTAGAACAGGTCGGGATAGACTTTCTCTCCTGTAGCTTTGGCTGTACTGCACGGTTTTAGTGAGATAGGGGATCTCAACTCGTCAAACGCAAAGTTGGGGCTAAAGTTCAGGGAACACCGATCGGACTATCTCGACGATGACTTTGCGCTTTTTTTGCTGGCGTCCAATCAGTGCGCCCCCCAAACTTTCGGCTCTATTTTGTGTTTGACGAGTTTAGGGCCCTAGGTGGAGGCAAACTTTGACCTTACACTCCGTGGTTACATTCCAAGATATGGGGCACTCACTGACCTCACAACCCCCGAATGAGTTACTGCTTGTGTTACTTTTCAGACTTTTCTTTTTTTGACAGGACGTTTTTTGTTCTTTTTTTTGTAAGCAAAACAAAGTTTAATTTTGTAACCTCCATCATTTTCCTTTCGCACGCATGTACTACGACTTCGGTATCGTGGAAATCAGGGAGGAAGTGCGTAAACAAAGAAAAGTGTTTTTCCCCCCGTTTTACTTTGTCACGGATGTCCTCCAACTGTAAGGTCCGTGGCCATGCCATTCGGGTAGGATGAACGTTCAAAGATCGGGGAGTCCGCATTGGGGCATTTGTAAAAATGGGCGATCACTCGGTGTTTCTTTTTTAAATCAAGATTTGTTTAAAAAGTGGGATGGGCGATAACTCGGGGTATTACGGTATGTTGCATCTAATACCTTGCGTATGAAAAGCTGGTTAGCAAACAATGCAATCTTGACGAAGCCTAATACAGTGAAACCAGTTTAGAACAGAGGTATGGGTTTTCTTCTTTTTTTTTTTGCGTGCCTGCAAACAGCCAAGTGGCCTAAGCAGCAGTGCACTGTCCTGTACAAAGATACATAAAAGTATGAGATAAAAACACAATCAGGCGAAAATGTCCGTTTCACCAAAAAAGGCATCATGAGTCTGTTGCAGACGTGTCATTGGGCAAGTGGCCCGCACATCAGGACAAAACGAACCCACGTACAGCAAATTACTGTCGATATCAAACTCACGGAAAATTTAAATAAAAATGCATGTAAAAAGTACTTCTTATAACGAACAACATATTGGCTATATCAAACTCCCCCCCCCCCCCCCCCCCCCCCCCCCCCGGAAGGCTTCCAAAAACGTGCAAACAATCGTCTTCTAGCCTGCCCGTTCTCCCCCAAAAAAATCTAGGAAAGAAAGAAAATTCCAAAAGCTCATGCTGCGAACAAAATTGACAAAAAGAAGTGATTCAGAAGGGGAGAAAGCTGAAAAAACACTGCATGCACACACACAAAAAAAAAAAACTTCCTCCCAAAGCAGCAACTGCTTTGGGAGGAAGTTTTTTTTTTTTTTTTGTGATTCAAAAGGGGAGATAAGCTAAAAAAACAAACTCTGCCACGCATAAAAAACAAAACAAACCAAAAAAAAACATCTTTTTGGCGCTTTGTTACAAGGTGGAAGCGAAGAGATGAGAGAAAAAGAAGCTCTCGCCTTACAACAAAAGCAACTAGGAAGTTCGGTGTAAATGGATTTGCTATATCGAACTGATCGAAGCGTTTCCTGCTGTTCGTTATAAACGGGTTTGACTGTATACCAAAAACTAGGCTAGCAAGGAATGTAATGCTCACATCTGTGCAAAGTATTTACTGCTTTTTTTCAGACCCAAGAAGAGAACTTTAACATGGTAACATTCATAGTCAACCTGGTCAAAATCATTGTGCACACAATAGACCTCATTCAGATTCGCCTGCCATCTGTCAGACATGGCGCCAACCTTCCTTCCGACACCATCTTCGAGGCGACTGGCAAACCGCTGTGGCCATTTGCGGCGTGTGAAAGCGACGCACAGCGTCCGAACGACTGCTCTGTTGTTCCGAGGAAATAAAATGAAAATCGATCTAAAGATTTGGATCGTATTGCTTTCTTTTCAAGTTAAAGGTATTATAGCAAACGTTTAAATAGCCGTGTCGCTTCCCTGTACTATTCATGCTCCTAAAAAGAACACCCGTGCGTTAGTGTTGTGTGCTTTTACAGGGCTTCTAAACCTTTCTTAATATGACACTTTGCAGAATGGCACAAAGGGCTCATGATATTTTTATGTAACATCAGCGAGCATCCATTATTTTATGGGATTTTTGGGAGCTTGATGTTGGCTAGCATCACAGCTTCGCTCGCGCAGAGCAACGGCGAGGTCCAGTCACCATCACTCAGATAGTGGAAAAAGGTTAAAAAAAACGCAGGTGCGCTGGTGAATGACACCCGTAGTAACCCCGAGACGTAGGAGCAATAAAAAAACTATGCTGAAGATCTACACTAGCATACCCACACAAGCGTATACGAGGCACACAAGCGTAGAAGGAAATGACCGGCGTGTCGCCGCGGTGCAAGTATGCAGAATATAACGTATTTAAAAAAATAAAAATAAAACACTATTTTACGGAATGCCGGAAACATTTTCCTTTTATAATCATAAAAATAATACTAACAAATAAATTCAATACTTGCACATATACTCTTCGGCCCCTTTAGAAAAAAATGCATTAATAAATGTCAGCAGCATTTTAATGTGCACCTCCTGGTAGCGCGGTCACAGAGATTTCATTCTTACTCGCAATAGAATATGGCCAGTGCTCATAAATGTGGTGGCTTGCAGAATTGGCTACAAATAAAAAAAGCCTCTCCCGCAGCGCGAACCCGATCTGTTGAAAGCAAGCAAGCGCTAGTGTTAAACTTGCCAACAGGTCCAGGTTAGCAGTCAAGAGACCGCTTTTATGCTTTCGTCTACATCTCGAAAATGTTACTCGAAATCTGAAAGTCCCGAGATAATAATAATACAGCGTGAAGTAAACGAGCATCCACCTTTGCTTTTTAGAACCGTTGTCTTTATTTACCATTCGTGTGCAAAACAAAGTTGTTTCATTGCCTAGCCCTTCTGCACTTTGCATCAGCCTTTAATAGGGTGTAAAAGACCTACTTGAGCGAGAAAAAAAAGAGTGTAAAACAGTGTATCTGAGTGATATCCACAGTAACCCTCAGACGTATGAACAATAAAAAAAAAAAAAAAAAACGGACAGAACAATGAAGGATATATGCGCGAGTGTTGAATTTATTTGTTAGTATTATTATTATTATTATAAAAGGAAAATGTTCCGTGCTTCTATAGAATAGTTCTTTTTTCTTTTTTTTAAATACATTATATTTTGTGTTCTTGCACCGCAGCGACACGCCAAACATTTCCTTTTATGCTTGTGCGCCTCACAGAAGCTTGTGTGAGTACGCTAGTGTAGATATTCAGTTTTTATTTTTTACCTGCAATAAAGAATACTATAGTAAATTTGCACTGTATCACACACATTCCCTATAATAATGTTTTGAGCTACCATTCGGTGATCTCCCCAAGGAACTGAATAAAAGTTTATGTACTAATAAATTTAAACAACCGGAAAGAATAAACACAAATTCGGAACGCAAACAGACGATACAACTCTGAAAGAGTTGTATCGTCTGTTTGCGTCCCGAATTTGTGTTTATTCTTTCCGGTTGTTTAAGTATTTACCAACACGCTCGTTTTTTAATGTTAATAAATTTAATTTCATGTTGTTTTTTTTTGTGTGTGTGTGTGTGTAATCATATTTGCAATATTTCTAATGTCAAGACAAAGGGGAACCAAGATTAAACATTCAACACCCTCATCATAGAACTCTGCAATTCGGGTCTGCACACGCTGGGTCAAGGCGCACTGGGTGAAGAACTGCTCGCATTCTTTAGACCCGCCGCCACGAATGCCAAATAAAAACAAACTGACACACAGGGGCTGACGGCCTGCTTAATACGTCATACAAATCGTCCGTGTGCGAACAGGCATAATCAGCTGGTCAAGTAAGTTAACGCACGATTCTAAAAAAAGTGCGTGAGTCGGCCTGCTCTGGTGCTAGAATGTAGCTCATTTTTATAAAAATATTCTTAGGGAAACCACTGAATACAAACTTGTGCTTAATATTCGTAACTTTTTTCTCGAGCAGCTGACACCATCAATATACAAAAACAACAACATAAGAACATGCACGAACGCTGCGCGGGGAGAGGGGTTTGTACTGCGGCGGGCGACGGGGACGGTGGAGAAGCCTCAGAGATGGCGCCGAGCCTTTGATAGTACTTGTGGTCGCCGAGAGATGGCGCTAATAATGAATAAGGTCTATTGTCAACGAAGGGGACAGCAACAATTTGACAACTTGCAAGCAATGCACAGTGCAGTTTGCTCAAAGAGGCAGTCAATGGACAATACATTATTACGAAGCACTCTTACAGTGCTGCTTGACACAATAAAAGATAATCACCCGTACTCACCAGGCGCAACTAACTAGCGCCGTTTTAAAGTTAGTAGCACGACGTGCTAAACAAGAAATCCGCGACTAATGAGCGATTATGTTCCGCGGTATTCACGAGCGCGAAGCGAGCGGTTGACTATCTAGTCAGAACTAAGAAGCCGAAGTGACGTAAAAAGATAGGTCACGAATATGCATACTTAAACGCCACCGCATAAATGGGTATTTTATCGTAAAAAAACTAAACTTTACATGTTTATCAGGAAAAAAAAAAGTAACAATGAGAGACATATTGTCCGAGACAGAGTTTTACAAAGAAAAATTTAAAAAAACAACGCCAGGGAGAAACACAGAAGCCGCATTGCCAGAGATATAAACAAATATGGAAGCACCCGTAAATGTTGTTTTTTTCTCGTCGTCCAGCGCCCTGCTGAGATCTATTTAGCGGTATCTCTGACCACTGAACATGGCTATTTACACATTATTTGCTCCTCCAATTCTTTCTAAATGTCCCCCAGCGTTCCGAGACAGTAAGTGCTTCGTTAGCGCTGGCGATCAGCGGTGATACGAGTTTGCCATGGCGCTGAGCCGCTAGTCACCAAATAAACTAGCCCTACCCCATGATTAAGATTTGTTAGTCGACTTCTAGGTCGCGCGGAGCAACTAGGCCCTAAACACGACCAATGAATACTAAGCGCTCACTTAGCGGCGACTATCGCTCGCCACGTGATCATTTTAGTCGATGACATCACTAGTCAGTGATTAAAAAGGCACTACTTGCGCCTGGTGAATACGGGTGAATAACACAGCTCTCATCATCACAGTTTCATGCAACCGGTGCAAACTAGCCAATTAGGGGAAACAATCTGTGCAAACTGCAATTTGCTATTTTCTTGTTTCAAACCTTGCAACCTTTTTTTCCAAGGCGTAGAATTCAAGCCTGAATTCTGTTATTTCATTGTATGCAGAAGTCACATTCAGGAAATTTAGGCGATACTCTAATTGACAAAATGCTTCTTAAAAGTGCCAGGCACTGGAAGTCACGGGCTCCTCAACCTGCAGCTGGCTGAGCTCGGCCACAAAGCCACTCGGCAAAGCGCCTACAGTAGCCCCCCCCCCCCCCCCCACAGCAGGGAAACACCAAATACCATTTTGTTGTAATCTTCCTTGAGGTGCCTCCCTACGCCTACCATACAGTACAGCAGAGGTGTGAGGAGTAAAATGTGGTGAGGGGTGTTTAGGATGAACAAGAATCCGTGCACCAAATGATCTTCCCTTATTTCAGCTACAATGTAGTGTTGGCATTGGCACTGTCATCACTGGCCGAGAGCCAGTTGTGCTTCAACACTCCCCTCAAGGTCTGTGCACTCCCAGCATAATAAAGAGCAAAGGTCGCCGCACATGCCAGAATGATGCTTGAGCCAGCCATGACAACACGGCGCAGTGGCAGGGTTGTCCCAAATCCTGGCTGCCTCCCAGATGTCCAGACGCCATTTGCGGCCTCTTGTGCCAAATTCCTGCTCTGTGTCGGCACAAGAATGATTCGGTGGAATTAGCAGTTGTCGCACCAAATAAATCACAAAAAAATCAACATATCACCACCATATGAATTTTTTTAATATTTGCAATGAAGCTCTCTTAAAAACCTTAAAACAATTGATTCAATTTCAGTGCATTTGTGGCTTTATTAATGGCCAAATGTGCATTCTAACTGAGAAAGAAAGTACATGCATACAATTCATTCTCAATTATTTTTATGATTACTATGTTAAGGTTCATATGTTGACCTGGCCAACATTGGCAGCAGCAGAAGTGTTGAACAGCAACGACCAAAGCAGTCCTCTGTACCTTTGCAGATAATCAGGAGTGCTGCCGTGACATCGTCGTGCTTTGGACACCAAATCCGCTGACTTTTGTGCAACTAGCCAGTCTACCCCAGACAAGGCTTGGTCGATTATTACGCCGCTACAGCTGATTTGATCAAGCGCTTACGTCCACCAAGCCCAAGCTATAAAAGTAATTTCTACAAAGTCTTCGCTTCACATCGGCACAAGCGTTCAATAACAACGACCAAACTAGTCCCCCTGTATCTTTACAGGTTAGTGTTTCAATTATTCTACTTTCTCTTTCTTATACCATGTTCCATGCTGCTGCCAAGATGTGACCAAGAGTTCCGATGAATTTGCAAAAAATATTTGCATCATCCGATGCGACAATTGACCTTTTTCACAGATCTCTGGGCGCATGCGCAAACTCTGAGAGAGCGGAGGAAAGGGAAAGGCGCCATTCTTGGTGGCTCTCTCGTCCGCTCAGTCGTTCAGACAGTACTGGTTCGGCTTCCCTCCCTACGCTATTCTCGCGGCTTGGCTTTATAGTAGTCATGCCTCACCACGGCGCAGCTGTTTAGTTGCACAAATAGCAGCAAAAATGGTTGAAATGCAACATTTTAAAGAGTTCAAGCAGCCTTTTGCGGGTGGTGCACAGTGTCAAACAACCTGCCCTTTTTGCCTCGCTTTCAAACCCCCCCCCCCCCCCCCCCCCCCCCCCCTTTTCAGAAGCCTATGACGTGAATACTTCATATCAGGTGGCCCGGTCCCTCAACGTGACAACGGGATATTCTGCTTTTAACTAAAATACAGTAAGCGTTCACGATAGGTTGTACAACGTAATCTAACATGCCCGATACTCGAGTTAAAAATAAATGGATAAAGCTTTCCGTTCTTCAGGTGTGCGTTATACGCATTCGCGTCATGCCACGTGAAAATTAAAAAAAAAAAAAAAAAGTTGGTCATTGGCGAAACATTTAAAGTGTGCGATATGGATTCAAGCCCTAAGGAGACGGAACTCTGACGGAACGGTTTGGCAACCAACCGCGAACTCCCCTGTTTGCAGAGCCCACTTCGTTGGAGGTTCATAAACGTGCTGATTTCAAAGCGAGATTGTTTTTACCATACCGTTCCCTACTTTTTGAGGGTGCAAGCGAGCCTTCGCAATATCAAGATTGCACGGATTTCCCCCTGTCAGGATTTGTTTACCCGTTTCCGGGTACGGCGATGCCCCAAGCGCTCACGCGGTACAAGGGACGGCGAAGTGACGGAACGCAATAAGCTTGAATAAGTTAGGCGCTCTGAGTGCGGAATCAGCTGTCAGTGGTAGCCGGGCCTCATAAACAGTGCTCCCAAGCTCCTCACAAGGTGGATAATTGACTCGGGATCGAAACTCGTCATCATCACTTTCCTTACAAAACACTCTGCTTTGAAAGCCAACCCCTTTTTCAGTTACTTCCACGACGCCACACCGCAGTGACGATTAAGTGACTCCGAGTCGATGGTAGGAACAGATGCGGCGTCGGCGGTCTATCCATCTTTTATATGTATAAAAACGAAGAAGGTTGTCTGTGTTGTAGACAGTAGCTTTCGTTAATCCTCGAGGGTAGTTCTGAGCCATTTCAAAAAAAAAGGTGCACGCGAAACGACGACTGGCCTGGCGCTGGCGCGGACCACGGAGCGACGGTACCGGAGCCACCGGAGCCTTCAATAGTGTTTCCTGCGATTCCCGCGAGGGCGTGCCACGATCATGGCCAAACTCTGAAACAGGTCAATTGTGTGCAGTTTCCCCGTGTGGTAGCTACCACCACAGTCGGTAGTAGCTACCACACGGGGAAATATTCTAGAATATCTAACAAAACAATCAAAACTAAGGGTGAAGCGTACCGTCTAGCTTGGCACTGCCCAGTTCGCCAACGTATGAAATCTTGTACACAAGCTCTGGATCCTACACCAAGTGACGAGGCTTCGTGATTTGGATGACAATCCGTTTGTACTTGAAAACTTGACAAGACAAACCCGTTCTCTGCCTTTTAAAACAAGAGCCTGGGCCAAAAGAAACAATTACAAATATGTGTGGCACAGGAATGGCCAAGTTCTCATACGCAAATCTGACAGAATCCAGCCGGTGGCTATCTCTAGTATTCCCGATCTCGATGAAATTCAATAAGAAGTGAGCAACGACCACTATCTATGGTAAGTACAGCCATTGAATCATACTTACTTCCGAATTCTTTCGAAAGGCATATTGGAAAACCTTCTGCAATCATATAAATGTTTTCAGCTGAATATACACTCAATAAAAAGTACAAAAATCCCATCTTTGTCTTTCATTTGATCAGTTTGGGCTGCCATTTGATGCAATGATGCTAACCGAGACATGGTCTAGTGATGAAACAAATGTACATATTTCGTCTCCCATTCTATAATATGTTTTATTTAATCGTCCGAGTAGCTGTGGTGGAGGGGCATGCATTCTAGTTAAAAAAGATTTTAATTGTGAAATATTAAGATTTTTCTGTACGAGTGATTATGAACTCTTGTCAATTAAGATACAACATTGTATTCGCTGTCTGATACCACCCTCCCAGTGGCATCACAACTACATTCATGGACTGCTTAAAGGGAATGTTTGGGTTTATCACAAACAATTTTGATTTTATCTCCGGCCATGATATGAATATTAAAATGATAAAGAACGATTCAGCAAAGTCTAAACTAGATGTTTTACTAAAGTTGCATAATTTGAGGAATGTAATCAATCTGCCAACAAGAGTGACTGAGTGCTCGTCATCTTTAATTGATCTGTTTTTAACAAATATAAGCTTGGACCGAGTAAAGGCAGGGGTATTTATTTGCCTGTGACCTAAACAACCATCTACCAATATTCATTTCTACGAAGCGGCACATAAAGATTAAAATATTGCACCTGCACACTCAATACAGAAAATCACAGAAGCATACATGTCAATCAGGTATCGCTTTGGTGGTCCGGAATTTGATCACGGTCGAAATATTATGTCAAGGTGAAGCTACATACTCCATCCACTAAAACCAATTCTAAAGATGCCGCCAGCTGCTCTTTAGCCAGCGGCAAGCGGGTTAAATTTTAGTCGAAGAACACTAGTGCAGCAAAACACCCATGTGACATCACATCGCGGTGGAGATGCGGTTGATTGGTCGTAACACGTATCGCAGCACCCCTGTGACGTCACGTCGCGGACGTACGGCTGATTATCAGTGTTGCCATCCCTCTAGCAGATAGGTTTGGTTTTGTCGTAGACGCCCGAAACCAAACTTTGAGTCGTAATATTTATTAAACTACAAAAAAAAAAAAAGTATATATATATATATATATGTATGTATGTATGTATGTATGTATGTATGTATGTGTATATATACACACACACACACACACCTTGTAATTCAGGGACACTGCTTTCGCTGAAAACAGTCATAATCCCAAATTTAAAAAATATTGACCTGAATTGCCCTTTAACGCTAATGATGCAAATGCTACCTATAATGAATTTTCTAGCATCTTAAATCCCATATACAGTGCAATTCACTTACGATACGAGATATAACGATATAATATATCGATATAAATATATAATATAATATAACGATATAATATACAGCTTATAAAAATCAGTTTCTAGAGTTTCAAGACTAGAAACGCCCAGCTCCTAGCCGGCATACAACGATTGAATTTTAGGGTTTTTTCATTATCGTTATAAATGGTTGATTGATTACGGGCTTTATGGCGCAAAGCTACTATGGCCATACTGCGCCAAGCTTGTTTAGTTGGGACATACTCAGGTCTTTTTTATATGAATTATCGAAAAGAGGTTCATATGACAAGGTTAAAATTCATAGAGTTAAAATTACAACTCTAGTAGGAAGCCGGTTTTTCTTAAGTAATTTATGATACGATCAAATGGTACTATAGGAGTCTCGCCAATTAGCAGCGCTGGGTGAAAAGGAATCTGGTGGGAAAAAAACTCGGGGAAATGTGTACGTCGTTCTTGCTCAAGCCCTGGGCACAGCCACAAAATGTGTAAAATTGTCAAACGCTCCCCACATTCATCACACAGGGGTGGGGCTTCCTCCCTGAGCAGATGTTTGTGGGTGAGGAAGGAATGTCCAATTCTAAGACGACACAAAAGAACTTCAAGGCGGCGGGTTTTGTGGGATGCACTCTCCCATATACCAAGAGCTGGTTTAATCCTGTGAAGTTTGTTTTCGCATTCCAGACTCCACTCCGATTGCCATAGCCGGAAAACTGATGATTTCACCAAGGGCTTCATGTCTTGAAATGGAATCTGTGAGGTGGTTGGCAGTAGGTGCTTAGAGCTCGTGGCCAATTCGTCTGCTCTTTCATTACCTAGGATCCCCACATGGCTAGGCACCCAGCAGAATTTTATGTCTCGGCCAAGCCGCAGACCACATTGTACCTTAGATCGGACAAGCTGTGCCAGTCTATTTTTACTTCCCTTTATTGAGCAAAGTGTGGTGAGCACACTTTGAGAGTCCACGAATAAAATAGATTTCATTGTCTTGCTGATGAGGATATATTCCAAGGCCATCAACACTGCATAGAGCTCTGCCGTGTAAATACTTGCACATTCCTTGAGACGCTGAACCTTACTGAATCCTTCAGAGTAAACTGCTGATCCTACAAAATGCGAAGATT